GGCCTCACGCATGCTCAGCATGTGCTCTGCCACTTGAGCTATACCCTTCCTCTAATTAGGGAGATTTTAACAGCTTAACAAAGAAGTGAACCCAATAGGTCTGCTATTCCACCCCAGCCTTGCAGTTTTCTCTCCTTCTCCACAGTAGGGAGGTTCCTTTTTCAGTGCCTACAGCTTCAACCCTGCCTCCTGGAACACATGCTGTGTGTAATGTGGAAAGTTCCTAGTTGTGAGCATGAGGTTAAGAGTCCCTTAAAATAAAGGATTCCATTGAATTTGTTGCAGAAGGTTTGGTGTCTTTTTTCCTAAACCTCCACTTACATGATCTTCATTTGGAACTCAGGACGCATGGATCCTTTCTCCAGGGGTTCCCGTGTTAACACTTTATCCACATAGCCCAGTCTCGTGCACACTCTACTTGGCTTTTCTCTCTGTCTCTTTCATCTTCTTCAACTTTATTCCCTTTACAGGGTTTTCTACAGTATTTTCTTTACCTTTTTTCGAAGTAATTTTTCATCAGCTCCACTCCTGTTTAATCTTTCTCAGAAGCACAAGTTCACACACACACACAAGTTCCCCAAATCTGTGTTTAGGTGCCATTTTACTGGGCTGTCTCTGTGTTTGACTTAAGATTTTCATTATTCCACAATATCACCACATTCCAGGAGAGACAACCATTTTCCTGTGAACTTCTCATTTTGATCCACAGGTCTCAGTAAAATGGAGAAGAGTCACAGACAGACAACATTGCTTTGTTTAAGATGCTGGCCATACATAAATACATTGCACCTGTTCCCAAAGACGAGCCTGTGCATCTGACCTGACTGGTCATTTGGCGCCACCTGCTGGACACAAAGAGTCACAGGCTGGGAAATCAGATCTGAGTTCATGATTATCAGGAGCCCAGAGTTGACCTAGAACTGTGCTGAGCAAATTACTTCCTGCTGGAACAAAGACTTATATCCCTTTAGAACAAACCTCTCCAACTCCTGATAAATATCTCTTGGCTAGATTATGATGTCCAGTTGCTTGGTCAAACACCAGTTTAGATGTTTCTGTGAACGTATATTTCAGGTGTGAATCAGTAACTTTGAATAAAGCTGATTACCCTCCATAATGTTGATGGGCCTCATCCAATCAGCTGAAGGCCTTCAGAGCAAAGACTGAGGTTCCCCAAAGTGGAGGGAATTCATTTTCATGGCTGAAGCATGGAAACCCAATCTGAGTCTCCAGACTATCATCCCTCGGGATTTAGACTCAAGACTGCAACATTAACTCTTACCTGAATTTCCAGGCTGCAGGCCCACCCTACAGATTTCAGACATGATAGAAAGCTAGAAAGACAGACAGACAGAGATAGAGGTACTCTATTATTTTCATTTCTCCCTTGGAGAACCCTAAGTAATCATACTGTATCCCAGCGACAGGGGTAGAGTTATGTTAATAGTTACAGCAAAGTACATTGCGGTCATCATCTCATGAGATATATAAATTAAATCATTATGCTGTACGCCTTAAACTTGTAATACCGTGCTGCATGTCAATTATACCTCAATAAAACTGGAAGAAATAAATTGCAATTTGGGAGACACAGATTTGGGTAAAACTGAGTGTTTCAAGGAAGGGAGTCAGGGGCTCATAAAGACAAAAAGCCAAGAGGCTGTCAAAAGTTGCCTGATGAGAATTGTGACACTGACGTGCCAGTCAGGAAACATGTGTCCTTAAGGAATCACAGCTTATTTCAGGGTGGGGGCTTAGTAAGGGGCTGAAGTTTCTGTCAGGTGTTCCGGATGACTTCATTAGGGCAATAAGTGCTCACAGG